ATCACCAATTAGGTCCTTGGCTGTGTCCTTTCACAACTCTGTCACTCGGCAAACAAGCATCATCCTGGATCTCCTCCAGACAGCGGAGCACGGCATAACGTGAGGACATGGCCGCAGAAGCGGACACCACAGAACTAGTTCTAGTCATTCTTAATCTCGTCAATACAATCGGCCTCTCTTAACCAACCATAGTCGAGCTCTTTAAGGGCCGTTATTGAGTGGTGTGTGCCCATCTATCTTCTGCAAAATATACAGTGTATTCCCTCAAGGTGGTAGAGCGTGTTTCACACGAAACACCAAATGTATCGCCATGCGATGTTGGAGTGGGACTGCGTAATGTCCAACAACATGGGTACAACTCAAAACACATCCGATAGCGATACATTCACAACCGCAAACACGCACACAGTAACAACATTTATATTAGCCGTTGCTGGACGATCACTGACTGCTGGACCATCAACTTACTCTACTGAAGCGCCTGTTTAAAATATGCATACGTTTTAGTATTTATTTTTCTCCAAATAAAATTGTGCCTTTGATGTCATGAGACAATAACAATTCCATTTGGAACTCTCACTGTGAGCAGTGACAATCGCGTGATGGTGTCAGTGAATTGCCTCCAGTAAGATGCTGTAATCGAACTATTCTCGAATCAACTCCACGAGGTCTCCGATGTGCACGAGGTGACAACCTTGTCCGTGTGTGCCCTGCGAAGAGTGATTGTGGCATGGCAATAGAATCAGTGTCCAGCACTCTTATGTGGAGGATCTCGTGAGAAACGTATTTGAACATGATGCTTTGTATGCAGTCGTTAGTCAGCGTTGCTGGTGAGACCTTGCACTCGCTACAGGCAGCAATCCGGTTTAATTGTTGGGTGCGTGCCCAGCCTTGCACTCGGAATCTCAGCGGTGCCGGCTTCAAGCTCTGAGCGACAGTCCTTGGTCAACTCGGAGATCCCATTTGGTTACAAGACCCTTGCCCGGATTCAAACCGAGGATTTCGGCAGCACTGACGAAGGAGGCAAAGTCTACATTTACATTGCATCTCGGTCAACACTAAATTCTATCTCTCCAAGTGGCTTTTTAGTTGCGGCAACTGAAAAATTACGTAAACTTCATGTTCTCGTTCTGTCCTCCACAGTGCACTTGAGACATGGGGATAACGATTTGACCAGTTGCTGTAGATCACTGCTCGACTTGTCACTGCCGGATGACATTGGGGGGCAGCGCTGGCGTGGTTGCGTGCCCGTGCTAGAATGAACACCGCGTACGGTAGCGCAGACAGATAGTTATTATTAAAAGAGTCAATTAGCGGCGCTCACATTTGTTTTGGCCGATTGCTTGAGCTTTTTAATGACAGCACTTAATACGTAGAAATAATAATCCTCTCGGTGAAACGAACTGAAGAGTATAATTACACATTTTGGTGTGGTGCAGCTTATTAGTACTTAGCGGAGGTTTGTTTTCTCCAAGCTCAGCAGGTTACTGATAGAAAAAAATATTAATATTGTGGTCTCACCGATTTACACTTTCCTACCCTTCACTTGTGTTTATAATTAGGCATTTCATTAAAACCTTAATGTTAATAATGATTATCTCATATACAAACATTGTTAATATATATCACGAATCAGGACAGGAGAGCATTGCCAGGAACATAGGTTGTAGGCAACGTGGAAAGTGGTAATAAATAGTCGAGCCATCGGGTATCAAGTCCCACAATAGTGCAGCCCATGGCTCACGTGATGGCAGCAGCGAGGAAGTCGTCACGGTGACACTTCCCATTCGCCCCACGGTCGTCCCCTGATGCTGCACTCACTCTCACCGGTCGTCTCGCGCAGCACAAGCTCCTCCACATCTCCAGGAGTGGCGCCAGACAGTCCACGTTCACCATTAGGCAGATGGGGTGGGGGACCTCCGCAATCCAAACATCAACTCGAATCCACACCTTTAAAAACATCAACGACGCGAATTGACACGAGAATTGCCAATTCATCTCTGTCGTCCCTCCCTTGTTTGTGTCTCTGTTATATCATCAAAACGTCTCACTCCATCCGCTCTCCTGTCGATATCTCGCCTGTCATCTCACTCGGAGTTTAGACATTTAAAGTGGAGGGGCAAAATTATTCCTGCCGAGGACCTCTAATTGGCTGGCACCATCACGGCCTGACCCTCACGCACATCCACCCACCCCTCCTCTCAATAGCCACGTCCTCACAAACTCACTAAACATCCTTCCCTTTTCACAAATCAGTTGCTATGAAGGCAATTTATACACATTTCAACGGGCAATTCTCTAAGCACTCCCTGATAATATAATTTGATTTACTCAACTTTGGTTTTCCACGCCCTTAATTAAATTGGGTAATAGAGATTCACCTCCACATTGTACCCCGACTTCATCACTAATTGGCTTATTTAATGCGGCAGCGCCGACTCTGCCCACTGCACAAAGAACACCGCCAAAGCACACGACGTCAGCTGCCTCAATAACTCTTCACGGTCACGTGATCTCGCGTGCCGACCCGGCCCACCGTGGTGACGCCAGCTGATGGAAGCAAAACACATGATCACAAACGATGGCGGAGTTGTGCTCAGAGTCCACTGTGATCCACCGTGTTCCCTTCAACCAACCAACCCTGGCACCGTCACCCGGTTTAAAGGGGGCATACAACCACACAAGGGCGGGGTGGGGGAGGGGGCTTATCCTTCGGCAGGGGGGCCCTCAGCCAATGCCAAGGGGCAGCAATTTAAGCCTAGGTTGAGATGTTAACTATTACTCTTAGGTTTTTCGGTAAAGTCACGTAGGTAAAAAATACAGTAAATTTAGCTGTGACGGTCCCACCTGATGACGGAGACTTGTGTTGCCTCCGAAACGTCGTGATTTATTATTTTATTTCTATTATTTTTATTTTTTACCTACGTGACTTTACCGAAAAAACCTAAGGGTATGAATCCTTGCAGTCACAAAAGCTTCAAATCTAGAATGCAAACTATTGCATTAATGATGCGCACAACCAAGGTGGATCGAGCCATACACCCAGCTAAGGATTGATCTGGACAACTCAATGCTCTGTCCGTGGTCTTGCCGGCTCACTTGGGGGGTTGCTTCAATCTCACAGCCCAGAAACGAATGCAAATTCCTGCACCGTTGAGGAAGTCCATGCCAGACTCAACTCCATTAATGATAACAGCCCCTTTGGCCACTGCACTACACACTTAGAGGATTCAGGCGAATTTGCACATGCAGGGTATGGGCCAACAAGCAGGCTCGTCTTAACACGGGAGTTAAATAGTGCAACGATGTTTACGATGTGCGCAAGTACAATAGTCTGCGGCAATGTTAATAATCCATGCTGCGCTATTCCTCTTCTCTTGATCTTCTTATCCAGACCCTTTACAGAGGCCGCTGCTTCCACACGCTTGTGGCGGCGGAAGGAGCAGCAGCAGCAGCGGCAGCAGCGGCAGCAGCGGCAGACCTTCAATTGGCGACCACCGTCATCACCTCCTGCTGCTATTCTTTCCGTGACTTTCCTCTCCGTCCATTGTTTTCTCCATTGTCCTCCACTCGTTTCCTTCCATGAGCCGTGCCCGTGCCATTGCTTTTGCTGTTTCAGTTTCATTTATTAGATGTAGCCCTGTGAGCCATGAGGCTCTTGACCCGGGTGCAACCGCAACAAACTAAACATGAACAAAGAACATCTTAAAGTGACGACACGCAAAAGAAAAATCCAGGAAAAAACAGTAAAATCTTCCAGAAAAAAGCATCGTACTTCAACGCTGTGTGCAAAAATCCAAATGGGATGCAAGTCGAACAATAACAACCATAATACAATTTAGATAAAGGTATCAGGCTAACTCCGTACTTCAACAAACATCGCTTAACCATACGTTTTCGAAATCACTAAAATAAAGCTATAAAACAATGTAACAGTGATCATAGGAACTGTGATTCAAATTTATCAATAAACGATATCCATACCATGGTCGACCAAACTTTGCAGCCATAGCTGGCGGCAGTTTGGTGGCATTCTTCCGACATGACCAATACCATAGCAGTCTGTTTCACAATTCTTTATCGTTCATTCCATCTTAAAGTTATTTTTGTGTGTATTTATTATTCTATGGAACCTTGCCACTCCGAGTGTATTTGTAAACATGTCATTTGTATAACTAGCAGCATGTTTCACTCTTGTCTTCCTCACGATTTTGATGCATAAAGTGCTTCTGTTAGTACCAAGATGTGGTAGTCAAATTTTATTTTGTATGTTTCCTTTCACGTCTTATTCAGCTGTCCCAGTTTATCCAGTTAAAGTCACGTGGAAACTAAAATATGTATGGCTTCCTATGCACAACTTTAAAATTAGCTCGAAGATGTGTATTGTGTTTGAAATCAAATCATCATCATTGTCAGGGGTAATGGATTTATTTGCAGAAAAATATCAGTGAATGTTATTATTGCAAATGTGTATTAGGATTATGTAAGGGGATGCTGATGATGAAAATAAGATTCTTAATTATATTTACCTTGTGTGCGTGCACATTCGTATGTATCCATAATGCCTCATACTCTTTATTTAACTGAATAAAAGTAATTATTTACATCCCTCGGTTATCTCACTGCTGGATGAAAGCCTTCCTGCACCGAGTTGTTCACTGGTTGAGTACGGCAAGGTAATGGGGTGCCCAGGAGCGGCTGAAGCTGTCGTGGCCACTTACCACTGTGCTAACCACTGTGCCACCGCTCCCTCATGAGCTCAGCCTGAATAGTCAGGCAGGTCAACTACCTGCTTGGCTCTCCTGTCCGGTTTCAGTGTCAGGGGGTGGTGGATCAGTCATCCCATTCAGCTGACATGTCAAGAACGCATGCCGTGACAGAACAGCGTAACACTCGGCTGTTGCAACACCGGGGGGACACGCGTGGTGAAACGCCGCGATGGGTCAGAGAACGTATCGCAGATCACGAGGCATCAGCAATAATGCATGCAACACAGCTGCACTGGTTAAGGTAAGCTTTATTGTTTAGTGTCGTCGTTTCACAACAGTGCTGTCTAAAACCAAACTTGGACCCATTAAAACATAGAAATTAACGTATTTTAACTAGTATTAAATAAACAATTGAATGTTTTAATCAAGTTTTGTTGTCTGAAGAGAGTGAACGTTTCCAGCTGTTATTCATGTTAACTTCCTCTGCGATAAATAAATTAACGCGTAAAAATTACACTCGACGTGCAAATATGTGACTTGTACACGTGATCGCACGCGATAGGGGACACCGAGTCTTTCTAAATGTAGATACACACGCGCAAGTTAAAACTGGTTGTCAAACTTTTACTGGCTTAATACTGTGTTTTAGTTCTAACGTAACACCTGCTTCACGTCGCTGGTCACCGACACGCTCCAACTGAATACAGCTGAACTCCTGCACTTCGATCTACACGACGGAAACTTCGCCAGGACTTTCGTTTTTAGCCAGCTAACCACAGTCAGCCACACAGACCCCTGCCGTGACTGGCATGGACACAGCCACCAAGGGCGGCCTTTTCACACTCCCTCCTCGAACACTCCGTCTCGCTCACCGGGAGGAGCGGGGCCGGGCGCTCTGACACGACACCAGCCCTCTCGTTACTGCCGCGTCCGCGAGGGCGGAGACCCACCGAGGCCTCTCCCTGGTGCTCTGTTCGTGCACACCGTCTAGCCACTGCCTTAGGCACCGTACAACCCTTCGTGGGGTTCTACCACTTGTGCCTCTAAGCAGGTGCAACGCAGTTTGGTCCACAGGTACCCAGGAAGCTCTAGACCCCACAGGTTTAGCAAACACGGTGGGGGGGGGGGGGTGCCTCCCTCTTTCTCAGTAATCTTCCCCTTCGCGAGGTTCTGAAGCTATCATTCCAAGCCCATCTAGGAGGCTCCCCTTTACACGCTGAGGGTCTCCCAGGAGGCAATTGCCTACAAATGCCTCTTTCCCTCCGGGCCCAACTCCTCCGATGAGGAACACTCCTCCTCCCTGGGCTCTTTAACCCCCTTCTGCAGGGGAGGCGGTCATCCTCCCGAGTCATCCCACTTGCCCGTGACCTTCCTTGTCTTGGCCTCCTGTGTGGCGGAAGGACCCGAGGTGCCTGGGGCCTTGCCCACACACTCAAGAGGGAGCCAGACGTACTCTGGCCTTGAGCCCTTTTAACAGGAGGTTCAAAATCTCAGCCGCGAGCCCCCCCCCCGCACCCTCCCCACTGGTCTGCCCAAAACACTAAACAGGGCCCACAGGGTCTCTCCATACTCAAAGGGTCCCTCTGGCCAGAGTCTCGCTCTCCATGGGACTCAAAATCCCATTGCAAGTGCTGCGCTGGGGAAGTGCTGCGTGAGCGTGTCTCTGCACGAGCCTCCCCACGTGCCGACTCCACCCTCCTGGCCGACAACTTTTGCGAGGCCTCCGCCCAGCGCCACCATCCAGCCTCCGACAGGGGGCCAACGCTTCCCCGCCCCACCACCTCCTGTTTGGGGGGCCGGCCAAGGCCGCTTGCGTTCCAGAGGTTCCCTCCCCCAGCCCCTGCTCGGTGCCCTGGCGCGCGTGACACCGCCGACGCCGCTGTCCGACGAGCAGAGGGGCTACCGGTTGTCGCGCCGCGGCGAATTCTGATTTTGATGGGTATAACCACGAAGAAACTTACGATGAAAGCGTGGGTGGTGACGATTACATTAGAAATTTGATCATTTCCCGGGGAAAGGGTGCCCCGGTTGGCTTAATTCTGCTCGAATTAGGATACTTAATGCAGTTCCCACTATTCGTGCTCAGGGCCCGAAGATGAGATACAGGGTACCGATGCCATTGTGATTAATGGAAAATAATCAACAAATCAGGGTCACTGGTAGGATGGCCGAACGTTTCGGGGCTGCCGCCTCACCTGGCTACTCACCCATGAGCGGGGGGCTCAGCGCGGTTGCCCCTGTGGGGCAGCCACAACCTGTGGGGCAGCCACAACCTGTGGGGCAGCCACAACCTGTGGGGCAGCCACAACCTCGGGAGCCGCGTGCAGCACCGCTTCTCTGCTCGCTTTTGCCCCACGGAGTTTTGGCAGCAAATTCTTCCCCACCCACGTGCATTCAGGGCGCTGAATTGAACACATTCTGTTGAAAGGAATGCTGCCAACGCTGCACAGCACTTTCACGCCAAATCAGCCTCAATATGCAGCGCTGTGCTGCTTATCAGCGGTCCTGGCGGCAAACGATTACCTGCAGGGCGTCTTGAACACGTTGCCCATCATAAGACTTCTTTTGAAACAACTCGCAGATGCTATCTTTTTAGTTTTACTACAGAGCTAAAAGAACACACTTTGCCGAGCCCCCACTCGCGAACTCAAAACACGTAGCAGGAGGTGGTGGAGGGGTCACGTGGTGCGGAGGGGTTTCCCCTCCGGGCACTAGAAGTTACAATAATAACAAATTGATGCGTTACAATAATAACAAACTGATGAGTTCAAGTGTATCCAATTGGAGCGTGTCGGCGACCACCGCATAAAGCAAACCATGTCCATGGGTGGGTACGCAATGACTGTTAAAAGCACTGTAACAAGCCTGTACGCCCAGGACATTGCACTTAGGTTGTGAAGTTACAGTCTGTCCGTACGACAATGGCACAATGTGATGCGCTGCGACACAGTGACCTAGTCCCCGGCTTCCATCTTGATGTGTGGTGGTTCTCCAGCAAGCACGGCCGAGGGGACCACGCTGCTCCTCTGCTTCCTCAGCCCCTTGCTCTCATTCTGCAGCTTCTGCCGGATGTAGCTCTTGATCTGAGTGTCCGTCTCCATTGGGAAGAAGTGCAGCACCACCCCTGTGAATGCATTCATAAGCCAGGTCACTGCCTCCAGTTGGTCCGAACAAGGCACACTTCGTCCTCTAATTTTGTCACCCTTCCACCGTGCCTCCGAGTAGCACGGTGGGATACGTAAGGTGCTGAATAAGTTAATATTTAATTATGGCTGCATAAGCAAAGGAAAATAACAAGGCAACCACACAGACCAGCAAAGAAAATTTATCCCACTTCTCTAAGAATCCTTCACAGATTACTATAAATAAGTTATTTGACACTTTTGAATGGATCAAATGGCCAAGTCTATTAGGTATTTTATAATTTAATATTTAATGATCAGTTATTCATATCATTCTATTCGAGGATGTACAGTGCATGAACACTACAAGTGCTGAGCAAAATCTAGTGTGTGTCAGGTTGCTTCCCCAATTTTAGAAAATAATTTTACATGGGAAAACTGCAAAATGTAATTTCTCAAGTCTATAAATTTTGGAAATAAAATGTTAATGACATTTTCATGCAGTTATAAATACATGTTATTGGCAGTACTGGAAGACAGTTAAATACTTGACTGATCGCACATTTATCTCTCAAAGGGAAGAACTAAAAAGTACAAAACACATTTTCAATGTATACTTTGCCACGCAAGTGTTTCTAATTAAAACACAAATACATTCTTTTATTTCTGTCTTTGTCCCAGTTTTACTCTAATTGGGCTATCAGCATCACGTGACGAGTTGAAGACTGTTTAGAATTGTCAGACAGCAGTGCATTACTTTGCGTTCAGTGACTACCTGTGGAAGGAGATGTCACAGAACTGATTCTGAAATCGTAAGTGTCCGCTTATGCATGGACAGCTCCCCAGATTTGAAATCAGGATCTCAGCTGTGCCAGCTTAGCACTCAGACGTCTGAGCCCACTGGTCACCTCCAAATATAAACATTCTTAAAATCACTTAATGTTTTTTCCACTTTAAAATTTAGGCTCACAACAATAAATATAAATGTAGTGCAATCCTCGGCATTAACACACAGATAAGTATAGTGTAATAAACTGAAATAATTGTGACTGTTTAGTTTATCCCTGTCTTCAGATGAACGTCTAGTCAGATGCTGCCTTAAGTGTTACAAAAACAAATACCATCCTCATGCATGAACTCACATACATAAAAGAAAAACAGCTTACATTTTTGCCAATTAACATCACCATAGTTTCAACGGTAAAAAAAAAGTTCCAAAGCGGTTGCAAAACATTTTCTCAATTAGGGAATGCCACCGGAATAACATTGCCTTGATTAAAGGCAGACACACCATATGGAAACTCATTTCCTGGCCAGATGAATAAGGTGCCACACCAATGAATATTGCGGCAGTGAATCAAGTCGGCCCATCATATGAAACTATTTTGTGTGATAAGGACCAGGCCTTTCGCCTTTCACACAGCCCTTGATGATAGATTAGCTTCATTACAATTTAACATCCGTACAAAACGGGTGTTTAACCACAAACAGAAATTTTTTTTAAAACTTGTTTTTAAAATGGGACGATCTCTTAGGACACAATACGAATGTGTCGCCAGTCTCAACTCAAACCTTTCATTCATAAAAAAAAACTTGTCCAATATTTGCAATTGTTACAGCCAAAGTACATTCCATATGAACCGTCTGAGCTGCACCCTGTATTTATGTATTCAGGTGAGCGATGTGTGATGCTCATGCGCACTGCCTGGGCCGTCTTGTTCCTGCCCTCGCTGCTCCTGTTCTGAACGCTGTATGTGTGCATTGCCATTGTACAACGTATTCTGTTTACGTTATAGACTTAAACACGTGTGCTATGTACAAGTCACTCGATACCCTGGACACTCTTGCAAATGAGATTATCCATCAAGCAATTTCGCATGTAAAAAAAATTGGAATATAAGTCTAGTTAGTATTGCCTTTGTTGCTGGCATTTTTAATATCCTATTATCTTTTTCTCCACATGCACTGTGCATCCACTTCACTGGCCTATCTCATGTACTGGGTAAGGCGGTATGGAAAATTACAATCAGGTTGAAAGAACCGAGTCACCACGTGCTAACAAAACTTAGTCATATAAAATGTTCTGCCAGGATACGAGTGAGATTCTGGAACAGTTGTGCGTATGTGAGTACACATACACAGGCCAATTGCACTGCCTGCTGTCACCATTCCACAGAGGTGCGGTTTATTTTGTTTCAACTTGTTAAGACTGTTGTATCCCTTTATGGGAAAATCACCAGTGGTTGTCCATGGTGAGACTGGTCCTCACCATATGAATATGGATTGTCCACCACTAGCTCAGGGCCGTAAAACAGGAGATGAACACAAGTACCTCAATGACCTTCTTTTACACAGACATCACTTTGACTTTCACTTTTTATTTAATTTATTCTGACAGCTTCCGAATGGATCCAACGTTGGCCTGACCATTCTTAAACAGGGACAAATCGCCCTCTGCTGTCTAAAGTGGTGCTGCGTACATTCGGAAGTAACCCACCACAAAGGGATGTCTCAAAGACGGTGCTCTTATCAACGTGAGAGCAATCTTGAGCTCGTGGTAGAAATTCGATCGTCTATGCAAAGGACAAACCAATGTTGACATCCCACAAAACAGTACTAGTTTTATTGACCCAGAACAGAAGATGGGCCAGGTCAAGCTCCTCGACCAGAATTTAAACAAACGACTCTGCCAGTGAAGTGCTCCGTCACTGCGCCCATCGGCTCGATATATTCCATTTCTGTACGGCATTCGTTTTTTATTGACCACGATTGCAGTTTTGGCAAGCAGTAATAATGGCGCCACATGTGAACACAATGAACAAGTCGTCATCAAGATTTATAATGCATCTCATTATCTCATTGAATAGCATGACAGCGTGAGCAATGGCTTGATTTAGGGGACTTAACGGTGGTAGAAACTCGTTTAAAGGGTACCTGGCCAGGCATGGAAGCGCATGCCTGTGATACAGCACTCTGGAGGGCGTAGGAGGGTTGGGGGGGATCACGTACATATTTGTTCGGCTCCCAACATCGCGAGGCTAGGAGGTGACCATGCGGTGGCAGCACAGCAAATGGGTTGGGGAACATCTGTGCAGACCTTTTGAGAGTGATTGCGTCTCGTGCGTGGGGCTTCTCAACGCACTGTGTTCTGCTCTCGGGGTTCTTTTTGCTCTTAAAAAGAAATCGGCCAAAATAGGCCCCCAAAAAAAGATCCTGAAAAAGTACTGAGAGGGAGGCAATATTAACACGGGAGAAAAATCATGCACATGCATGGCTCCTGTAACACTTTACAACATGTGTTTGTTCTCAGTGGGATTTAATTGCCAATATCCTTACGTTTCACGCAACACAATGAGATGACGGCACTTGACGTGTGAAATCACGACATTAGATCACCACGTAATGATGTCATCGGGAGCTGGAGACGCCAATGCAGCACAAATGCCAAGGGGAATTTTTTGGCAACCTTTTTATCAATTGTGACAGTTTAACTTGGAATAAGGCTCGAATACCAACACAATTTATTGTAGAGTTTTGTTCCTATTGGACCACATTCACGGGAGTTATCACGCGCACCCCGCTCTAGATGGACGGATGGAGCTTACGCATTAACACTTTCACCCTTAGTTGCATTAAAAACTATTTTAAAAATATAAGGATGAATATGTTATTTTGATGTTACATCGATGGGTTTTTCAACCCTGCGAGGGTGATGTGTCAGAGCGGCGGGTGTTGCATCGGCGTGCGGCATCGCCGGGAACTCACGGATGATCTCCATGAGCTCGGCGGAGGGCAGGGCAGGCTTCACGAAGCTGGGCTCCTTGTTAGAGGCCGTGCCCGTGATGGAGTGCGACGCCATGAACTCGCGCGTGTACAGCGACGATAGGAGCTTGTTGGTGAACTTCTGGGCGCTCTCGCAGCCCTTAAACCTCCACAGCAGCTCCATCGTGATGAACTTCCGTGAGCAGGGCACAAGGTGACAAGCGAACACACACACACACACGGGGGGAATCATGTTCTGTTCGAACGGAAAGAGGGGGGGGTGGTGAGGCTGCCAGTTGCAATTGCGTCCGTGTATGTATGTTGTGGGGAGCAGTAGTGCAAAGGTCAGCGCACTGCGCTACGGACCCGGTGACCCGATTTCAATTCCTGATCATGGCCAACACAGGTGACGATTATCTGAAACGGTCCTGGGCCTCCCCTAAGTCGCCTCAGCCTCAAATGAGTACCAAGTGCGATGTGTAAAACATCGTCATTAGGGAGACAAAGGCGGTCGGGCATGGTGCTGGTCACCCACCCCCTCGTGTGCCGTGCCGGCCTTCATAGGTGCTCGCTAACAGCACTTGCCCCAACAGTCTGTTACAGGCTATAAGGGGGATCTTTGTCTTTGTATGAACGTTGAATTTCTTTCGCACCCATGTGTAGCCAACCGTGCTATTTGGAGCCCAGCGCACTCTGTACAGACAGCCAAGACAGCACCCACTGTGAGGCATCAGGAATACACAGGGAAAGCGATTAAACGTAAAGGGGTTCTGGAACGAATTTGAACAACAAATTACAAAGATCGTTTATCTGATAAAAACGTGCCCAAGCTGCGTGCTCCAGACCGTCCGTGAAGCTTCCTAAAATGATGGTCAGGTGCTCGATCACAGCGCCCAAGGGTGTCTAACATCGCACCGTCTCCCTCTCTCCCGCGTCAGCTTCTCCTGTTCACCTGCTCCCCCTCCCACCCTCCAGTGTTTGTTCCCTACTCTAGTTCTGTGTCTTGAGATGCAATTGCATTTACTTTTTAAATACAATGTGTTATAGTTCTCACACAGCAGACAATGAACGGGGAACGAATGAGTGGGTTTGACTCGCAACAATGTGAACGCCAAGGTATTTCAGGTCACTCATACTCAGACGCATTTTGAGCTCGTTTCTGTTGGTGGTTGTGCATCAACGGCTTTAATCTCCATGTCCCTATGTCCAGAACAAATCTATTGATTGAAATCTCACTCGTGCGAATTTGCATCGTGTGGTACTGTCCCATCTAGTGGTCCTGACTCTACCAGCACTGGAACAGCTGATGGACCGAGTCGATCATAACCGCAAGGACTCGGTTGGAAGGCAGAGGCTCTACCAACCGAGCTGCACCTCAACAACATTTACAAAGTGATGTATTTAATTACAAAGTGACATCAAGATGTCTTACACTCCTGTCTCATCACTGCTTGTCGGCTACATCATTTACATTGTATCCGTTATCATCTGCTTTAAGCACATGGAAAGATGAAAACATTAATTGGCTCATTGGGTTTTATCATGTACAACTCTTTGAATGAAGCATCATTTGCAGCAGACCTATAGCTATTCCCATGATGAAAGTCTCGTAAAATATATTTAGATTATAATTATTTACAACAAAGAGTAAAATACTGTTGTGAATCTAATCAGCCTGATCAACACACACCAGAGTAGCATGAATACATATTTCAATCGGGTGCCAGGGTGGCGGAGTAGTCATAGATGTGCCTCACAGCAACAACGCCTGGATTCAATTCCAAACTTGGGCGCCTTTCTGTGTAATGTTTATATGTTTTTCTCCTGCTCTACATGGATTTCCTCTGGGTTCTTCAGTTTCCTCCCAGAGCTAAAATTACCGACAATGTAACCCACGTTGGCCAAACATCCCAACGTTGAAAAATAACCTGCAAATCACTCAAATGTTATTACACATTGAAACATCGCCCCCTACTGCCAAAAACTGGCAGGACCCTCCTAAAGAAGAGTTAAGACTAGGCAAGACTTTCCTACAGAAGCAGGCAGAAGCAGGTAAACGAGAGAAAATGACACCACAGCAAGACACACTGGCCAGACTGCATCCGCTCTGTCTTGTATTCTAGACACACGTTGTCGTCGCGACGGGCACCCACCACCCTGTGCGGGAGCCACACTCCGCTCGGAGGTGCACCAATGATATGACTTATTGTTAGTGGTTGCTGCTTGCTGAACAGAAATTTTGTATGAACAAGGAATGGAAGTTTACTGACATTGCATTGAACAACAAAGGCAATGCACAATTCAACTTAAGACAGAATAAAAAAAAATGTGTGCCTATGATTACGAGGGTGGGATCGTTGGTAGCAAGTAATAGCCTGGCAAGAGCCGCGAGGTTTTTTTTATTGGTTTAGCAGAGACTTTGAGAGCTTGAGTCTTAGAAGTATTAAAAGTGATAAGTCTATTGCAGCTGCACTGCAGAAGCAGAGGTAAACGTGACACTGGAATCGATTCTGGCTGCTGCAGAATTCTTTAGCATCAGCCAGAGTGTAAAATGTGGACCTGCAATGTAGCTTCATTCCACCAGCATGAGTAGGTGTGGTAGCTTGTTAGGGAAAAAAGACCATGAATGAACGAGAGCAAAGGATGGGGGTAGGAGATCCGCGAGGCATACATGCACGCACGGAAAGTGGGTCAGGGCATACGCCATATTTACTTATGTTATACTTAGAAAAAGCAAAGCCATTGATCTGCTTGGCACAACAATCTCATCTGATTTGTTATGGAATGTCTATGTTACTAATTTAGCCAATGAGGCATCCAGGAATGGTTTTTATTTTCCATACCAAGCCTTCTACTTTAACACGTTGTCACCAGATGAAGAATAATGATGTCCTATCTGAGGTGAAGCAACCAGTTTCTACCTCACTAAACTGGATAAGATTCAATGTTGACTGACGATCCAGCACTCATTGAATCACTACAGTCGCTCGCTCATCGGCGGCGAGTCAACCTCCTTATAACTCCTTGTAAGGTATAGCCCTGCAATTGCTGGCTTACAGCACTCCTGACAGTAGGGCCTCTGCTATAGGGAATGCTCAAGGGTGTTTTGGCCTACTCTTCTACGCTGGCCAGACGTCTTAAAATAGGTGGGAGTACCCACACTTTACCCCACCAAACACGTGACCTGCCGATTGACTAACTAGTAGCGCAGAGCACTAACCGGTGTGCCACCGCCCTCTGTACACATACGCATCCACACAATTGTTAACATCATCATGCCCCTCACGCAAAATAATATGAATGGACCTTACTTCTGTCTTTATCGGTTTGACATCGTGGGGTTGCAGTGGTTTCATCTCAGACTCTTCTTCCTGAAACTGCTGCTCTTCCCGGGAGAGGAACTGAATACGAGCACAATCCTCTTCCAGGGCCACCTCCTGGTCTTCAATGACCTGCAGCCTCTGCTGCTCCGCTGGGCTTCCATGGCCGTCCGCGCAAAACTGTTGTCTTGGGTACAAAAACTTTTCAGTTGCCGCCGTGCCAACGCTGTCCAATGCAAACATTCTGTTCGTCCTCGTGGACTCCTCCATCTGGTGACCGTACGAAACGGCAGGCGAGTTTTGTTTACCCTCCACGTTCTCTACGTGCAGAGGCAACGGTTGCCCCCAAGAGCACTCCGCTGCGGAGCTCGGGCACGGCCGCTTGTCCGTTGGCTCTTCGCACTTCACCTTCACCGCCACCGAACGCTCAGGTTCGGTGTCCAACACCCACACTTCCGCGGGGCCGCAGTTCAGGTCCGTCCGAGTTTGGTCCGCGACGTCGTGAAGGGCGTCGCTCAAGCACGGCCCGTCCCACGACCGCTCGCCGTGCCCCGCCAGCTCCGTGCTCTGCGCCGAAGCCGTGGAGTGGCTCGGCGACACAGGAGGATCCCGGCAGGTCCCAGAATGCAGCAGTGCATCCGTCTGCCCGACCAGCCTCTCCACGCGGTCAGCCAGCATCCCCAGCCCTGCGGCGCACGCACACACACACACGCGGGGAAGCAGGGCGATCGGATGTGTTAGGATTCCCTTGAATGGCAAGACATCCCGATTCTCACTAAATGTCCAAGAGTTAATTTGCACACATTGTATCTCAACGAATGAATATGTGTTCTTGAAGGGCTTGTGTTTATGAATACTACATAAAATATATGGATTTTGAATGGGCCATTAGAGGGTAATAAAGCAAGGCAAATAACGCCAGCTAAAGAGTCTGAAATGAGCACCACTCAACACTCATTTGTGCATGGGGACAGTCTAACAGACGTTTAAATACTGGTGAGAGATACACAAGTTTCCTTTGCAAAGGATACTCATCTCAACAGGCCCGTCCCAAGGTTAGAAATAATAATCACGTACTACGTATACATACCACTAACCCACGAGGAACTAACTGATGTCAGTAATTTGTTCATCGACTTAGTCACTAACAATCAGATAGATAGATTGTAAATGTTGTGAATTTTCTCTCCAACACAGCGGTGTGCTGTATTCGTAACGAATTGCATGTTCTGTTTACGTGACAAACCTGACTAATTGGCTGTGTCGGGTGGTGGTGGGTTGAACGACACATTTATATTTACGTGATCTAACCCAAGAAAACCTTTCTTATGGAATCAAGATAGTTTGGCAGTTTCATAAAAAACATGGAGCAATATCTAGTTGCTGGGTATTACACTCGCCTAACATCTCACCTTTGAATCACAAATCAGCGAGTTAATCTAGTCACATGCACTGACCGCACCCAAGCTCTGTCACATCAGAGAATAACTTGATAATTATGTTGCGAATACCATAGCGCGTATGTACACTTAACTTTTTTCGCACCAGACAACTCTGTTAATCAGAGAAATGGACGGATGACTAACTTCGTCAAAATATTCAAATCCTAGAATTTTTAAATCAAGCAAACACAGAGCCAAGCTGAAGTTACCCCACAGAGCACCCAGCCTCCCACATGCGGCTGAAGCACATTACCAGTAAGGCAGCGAATCTGGTTCTTGAGATGCCTGTTTTCTGCCTGCAGAGCAATCACCATGTTCTTGAGTTCTTCCTTTGACTTTTCTTCAAGAATCCAGTCCTGCTGGAGAAATACAGCAAGCATTAGTGACAAAAAATGGACCAATCCAATTGCACACTAATTACAATTAGACAACGTTCCCAAAAGGGTAAAAGAATCAAGGAAGTTGATGAAGTGACTTAAAGTTGTCAACGACTACTTCTCACGCAGTCGATTACTCAGGCTCCTTTGTAAAAGGCAGCCAGCCCCACATCACGTCCTCCGAAGGAGGGAAACATTCAAAGCCACGCCCGGCGAGACATCCCTGATGAGGACATCAACAAGCCCCGCCCATGACCTCCCATCCTGCGGCACGCATGGAAACAAAGGTGAGACTGTTCTCCCAAAAAAATTCTTGTTATTATCCGATAAGCAATCAATTACTTACTCAAATGTTTTACCGAATAAATACATTTAAATAAAGATACTCAACTTTTCACGTAATAAGGAGCAGAGCTGTTACTGTAACCATTTTTTTTCCTATTAAACTAATTATTCCTCTTGGACCATTTTCCATGTGTTTTGCGCGTTATGCGTTTTTCAACTGCAGTGCGTTGTAACAGGCGAAAAACCTGCCCACAACCATACAAACATTGGCACCATTCCTGCAAGCGCACCACGATTTTTTTTATTTGTCCTGTGGTATAGAAAAGGCTCTTTTCATATTCCTCAAAACAGCAAAAAAAAATGTTTGCATTGCACAATGCAGTATAGATTTCTTATCAAGTGCGGTGTGGGGGTACACAGGTACGTGTTCTCAAAGTCATACATTATGTCTCAATGCCTACAGCCAGCACTAGATAAGCTGCCTACTGTGAGTTTTATGCACGGAGAATTAATGAATTACGCGCTAAAATTAAAATGTAACAGATAATGCATGCAATACACGGAGACATTTTGCTATACACACGGAGATCGCATGAGAGAAAGAGATGACTCATGAGTGGAGTCTGAAAATAGGGGCGCATTCAGATTCATGAAGCTCGTTCTCACAGATGTCCAATCATGTGGACCGCTAAACTACTGTATGTATGTAGTTTTTGTTTAATAGGAGGTACAGAAATGTTTCAATAATCCGTATTCCAAATTTCGAACCACCATATTGGGGCACCATGGTGGCGAGATGTTAACTTCCTCGCCTGGCATACAGGATGCCATGGGTTCGATCCTAACCCTGACACCTGCTGTATATTTGGAGTTTGCATGTTCTCCCCGTGGTGTGGAGTTTTCTCCGGGTCCTCTGCTCTTCCCTCCACATTTAGAATAACGCGACGCGTTTAGGTACTGACGCGGTTTGTGGCAACTGCCGTAATCAGCACAGCTAAATACCTAAACTCCACGAGTTTACTTTTTGTTTTTAGCCAAGCAGGTAAACACTAAGCCTGGCAAAAATGGCTAGAGATCAACTTCAGACGCAGTACACTTCATATTGAATGCTTCAGACACGGCAGTCACAACACATGTAAACATAATAGGTGCAGTTCATGCTTGCAGAAAACTGTACACTCAACAAATGTTGAATCATGCATTTATCTACATATAACTTGACTGCGGGTATATTGGGGGAAATGCAGTGAATATTTAATAAAAGAAAGTCTTGTAAGTGGTAATGCTGATATATGGATGTTGTTATTTTTGGAAACATCCAATTTCAACAATGAAAAATTTGTATATCAGTTGGGAGCTCCATAACAGTTTTTTTAGGGTTAAATCACGTAAATATATAAATGTGTCATTTAACCCGCCACCACCTGACACAGCCAACTAGTAAGATTTGTCACGTAAACAGAACGTGGCCAATTCGTCACTAGTACAGCACACCGGTGTGTTGGAGAGCCCAGCCACAACATTTACAAACGGAGTACGACGTTTCGCCAGTAATTGCAACCAGCTTCATCAGGCGACAGACAGATTTGTGGAGGAGTCCACCTGTTTCGTCCTTAAATAGATGCGTAGGTGCGATGACGTCACTTGTGTGCTCTTCTTGCGGGAGAGGGGGGGGTGGATTAATGAATGGTATAAATGACTATGGGCATCCATTGCCGTTTGAGTTATTTATATGGTAATCAACGCACATTATGCATGTGCACTTGCAAGCCCATGTTCTTGTACTTCCTGTCGATTGTGTGAACTAAAATAGTGGTACCAACAGTAATCCCCATTGAAGTATGGTGACCTGTATAGGCATGCATTTAAACAAAGTATTATTTGATGATTCGCTTCCAAACACCAATACGTCTGCATCCGAACGGTTAAAATTATTTTTTATTTCTCTCAATTTCTATAAATTCTCTAATTAGTCTTGGCCAGCATTAACTAGTTTTGCACAGAACTTCAACATTATCAAAATCAATTGAGTGTCCTTGTTGGCACGCATGTCCTGCCGCTGCGGACAGTGTATTTGGGAGTATTGAATGTCTTTGGTGTTGATCATTTGTCCTGTTTGCCCAACATAACATTTGCCACACGTGTAATTAATCCGGTACACACTTTCTGTTGATAGCTTCGTTAATACATCTTTTGTACCAGATATTAATTCTGTATTTCATGTATCGTGCCAAATGTGGCTCGGATGTTTTGTTTTCCAAACATCTGGCTAGTTTATCAGTTACTCCTGCAATGTACGGTATTTTAATAGTTTTAACTACTTGGTCAGTTTCAATGCTCGTGTTATTTGATTTGGTTTGGAATTCAATCCCTTGCTGATCTGTGCATCATTGTAACCTGTTCAATTTCAGCACTTCTTTAACATGTTTAATTTCACTTCTCAGACTATCACCATCTGACACTTTCTTAGCCCAATGTATGAGCGTCTTGACGAGAGCAAATTTCTGTGTGGGGTGATGGTGCGACTCTGCATTCAGATACGCGTCAGTGTGAATTTTCTTTCGGTAAACGCTGTGTGTTATTTTACCATTTCGACCGCATCCGAGCACAATATCCAGAAATGGTAGAGTTCTGACAGCTTCCACTTCCATGGTGAACTGGATGGATGGGTTTTGCGAGTTAACATTTGAATAGTTGTGATGAGCAGCACACACATCCACACCAGCACATGCCCCAAAGTAGATTCTCGGTTATTTGGCGTTGCTGCGGAGTCTATTTAAAGCTTAACAAAAACTCTAGAGTGAGAAATAGGGCTCCTTGATCTTGTACATCGAATATAGCCTTGCAGTTAAGGTGCCACTCTCAGGTCCCATGGTTCCATCTTCTTGTGAAATGGTTCATTTTTATAGATATAATAAAACCCAAAGGAAGCGTTAAATGGAACACAGTATTCCGTTCGAGTGGCATGCAGGTAGCACTCTCTTGGTAATGAAACAAACTGCTGAATTTACCCTCAACCCTGGCTTCACATAGAGCACAGAACATGTTTTGTTTCACAACGCTAAATTGGGAATTATGAAATACATTTCAACACCCCTTGCTCTGAAGCCAGTGACAGAAAAACACATGACTGGAGTTGCATGTTTTTTTCCTAAACATCACTGGGCACTGACTATCATTTCATGATAGCGATGAATTAAAAGTATTTCTTATCCGAGACAAATTAAAAATACCATGAGACCATTAGAAAAAGTGGTAAACAAAACGGATACTACAATAGCACAGTGATACCTCTGAAAGCCACACTAAAGTAAGCCAGTGTTTGGGGTAATCTGGAAATAAATACAAATATATAAATTAATAAACATCCCTTTTTTACACTCTTGAGTGGAAAACTGTTCGTGCACTAATTAAACTATTTTTTTTATTTTACCAGGCAAGGCCCACTGAGCTATATTGCTCTTTTACAGAAGCAACCTGGCTACCTACAAATGAGAGCTCAACAAAGTGGCTTATCATGCGAAAATTTATAGCAGCCAAATACCCTAAAAACGCACGTTTTTAAATGTGGAGGGAAAAACCGGAGGACCTGGAGAAAGATCGACACGACTACAGGGAGAACATTCAAACTCCAAATATACAGCAGCAGGCGTCAGGGTCGGGATCGAACCCACAGCCTCCTGTACACAAGGCGAGGTGGTTAACATCTAGCCATCGTGGCGCCAATTAACCTTCCTGCAGTAGCACACGAATTGTGTGTGTTGTGCACGAGTAATGGTTAAGCGATGTGAAGATGTTGCTGTTTGGAAATTGGTTAACCGGTGCCCTTGGACACACCCCTCTCTTCCACGTGCATTGACACGTCTCTCTCGTTCTTGTCATATTTGACAAATAGATGCAATGAATTATTCAAGCCCCGTCAGAATATCTCTACAGCCTTCCACATCTGATAAACCTCAGCCTTCTACCACGACTTAATGGTGCCAGTGATGCGGATTGAACTGTACAGGAATGATTTCTTAAGTGTTATTCAATTGTACATTTTAAAACACACATTGCTCAAATCAACACCGATAGGTAACCATCACTAAATATAAAATACATCATGAACTCCCATGTATTTTTCTTCATGGACTATGTGTGTAAATAAATCTGAGAGGATCATAGATTTTATTAAGTAATACTGGTGATACCACAGTTGTGGCAAAAACAACTTACATGAGTTATCACTGGGCTGCCGATTAACTACCATTCTTATTTACAATATAAACACAGCATGACATTTATACGGACACAGATGCAAACAGCAAGGCATAGACAACACATCGAACGCCTAATGAAATTAGGGTGAGACATTCTGGCGCAGCACACACACAGAAAACAACACATTCCAACACAAATGCAGTAGAGACACGTGCTTAAACTCATTCTTAACAAACAACATAACACGAATGACAACAACATTCACTACTAAGCACAGTGCCTGTGCTCAAAAGGCCACGAATAACGTTTAAAAGCGTGCTGCTGACAGGACGTCACATGACACAGCAATTCATTATGGGTTGACAGGCTCCTGACTGAGACTTGTTGTACAAGGCCTCTTCAGCTCCCGTGTGCTGCTTGCACTGCCTGGCATCCTACTGGACAGTAGCCACTGACAGTTGCTAGTAGACTTGTTCGTAAATCTCCTCTATGAA